CTGACATGGGTGACCTTCATTTTTTCTTGGGCATCAATGTTCACCGGACAGCTCATGGTCTCTTTTTGCATCAGACATAGTTCACGCACCACATCTTGGAGCGTGCCGGCATGATCACCTGTCGTCCCATCTCCACTCCAGTCGACACGAAGGCCAAACTGTCTAGCACATCAGGCTCCCTGGCGGCCGACCCAGCTCTCTATCGCTCCATAGTTGGAGCCCTCCAGTATCTCACATTCACCAGGCCAGACATCTCTTACTCTGTTCAGCAGCTCTGTCTCCATCTACATGCCCCCCGAGATGCCCATGTCACGGCTATGAAGCGCGTCCTACGCTCTCTCCGTGACACCTCCACCTACGGTATGACTCTATCTCCCTCCAGCACAGATTCTCTCCAAGCCTATTCTGATGCTGTCCAGACGATCCACATCAGGTTACTGTGTCTTCCTTGGGGACAACCTCATCTCTTGGTCCTCTAAACGCCAGGCCACTATCTCCTGATCTAGCGCTGAAGTAGAGTACCGAGCCGTTGCCAATGCCGTTGCCGAAACCAGCTAGATCCGAAATCTTCTTCTCGAAGTACAACAGCCCCTACGCCGCGCCACACTTATCTTCTGCGATAACGTCAGTGCTGTTTACCTCTCCACCAACCCGGTTCAGCATCAGCGCACCAAACACATTGAGGTAGACATTCACTTGGTTCGTGACAAGGTGGCCCTTGGTCAGATTAGAGTTCTTCATGTGCCGTCCTCATCGCAGTACGCTGACATTTTCACAAAAGGCCTCCAGTCCATATTATTTCAAGATTTTCGGACAAGCCTCGGGATTCGCCCACCACCGACGCCGACGTAGCCGGGAGCATGTTAAATATATACTATATTTATGTTAAATATATATTCTATATTTATTGTACACATATTGTTTCCTATTGTAGAATCCTACCATAATTAGGATTAGGAATAGCTTGTGTATATAAACACATGTACTCCCACATTATTGTTCAAGGAAAATCACAATTCTTCAGTTATCTTATGTGAATAGATTATAATTCTTATGCTTGCATTGAGTTGTTCAATGAGACCTGAAAAATATTTTCATCATTAGATGTTAAAGTTATTAAAGTGTATAAAATGTTCTTTGTGGATAAATTATGTATGAGAGTTAGGATGAAAGAAAGATTCACTCTTTAATAAACTTTTTTTCATCTTTTGGAATCATTGTTTGAGCGTTTGAAGTTAGTCGGGATTCAAAGTGATCCAAAAGGCCTTTGAATTACATGACTCCGGGCCTTATAGAGAGTTGACAATCCTCTTTATGTGGTCAAGGATATGATTCAACTCGAGCCTTTGAATTCTTTTCTATTTTTAAGTGTGTAACTTACGTAATATATTGTCTACGTATCTATTATACGTGTAATGTTTGACTTGTGTTTGTTCTCTATTTTTATTTTGTTATGGTTTCTTGGCAGTGTTTCTTGGGTTATCTATATTGGAGAAGTTGATTTTATCTTCTGAGCTTGTTTTTCTCCCATTTTATCAAAAAACAAAACCTAAAAAAATAAGAAAATATAAAAAACCAAAAAATATTTACATTTTATCCAACACCCCCTTTTGTTATACTGTTTTAGTTTATAATATAATTTTTTTTACTAAGTTATATTATAAGTATTTTTTTTGTAAGTTGTAAATATAAATTTTTATACTTTATTAACTTTTATATACTTAAGTATTTGTTAGGAGTTTATAAGTTATATTATAATTTCTTTGTTATATAAGTTAGTTTTAAGTTTTATGTTTATTTTTATTATGATTTTTATCATAACTTTTATAAGTCTTGTCATATTGTGTAGTAGTTAGTTTTTTTTATTTTATTTCGTGACAACGTGTTTGCATACTAAATTGGTTTTTAAAAGTACAAACTTTCTCTGTGAGATCGACCCTTAATTACTTGCCCTAGCTATAATTTTTATTTGATTATATTTAGGGGGTTAGCAAAGGTTATTTATAAATTTTTAATTTGTTTTGGACCGCACGACGGGTCTTCAACACAAGCCATATTTTGAAGTCATTGGATTAAACAAAAATCTTCATGTGCTCCTTCCAACAGGAATAATTCATTTTATCAAAAAACGGAGGCCTTATGGTGGATTGCACTTCTCGAATCCCTGTGTTTAACATTCTTAGAGAAAAAATGTGATCGTGTTCTAAAACGTCACAAGGAGCGTTAAAGATACGTGCTCTGATACCAATTGTTACGCAATGTGTGCCACTCTAGAGGGGAGGGTGAATAGAGTTGTTGACAATGTTTACCGTTTTTCACAGAGTGAGTGTGTAAATAAAAATAGACGAGTGTGCAATATAAATAAAAGAGAGAAGGCAAAGAACACACTCATGTATACTGGTTCACCACCTCGTGGCTAGTAGGGGTGTACACCGGTCCAGAACCGGACCGGACTGGACCGGAACCGGAAAAACCGGAAACCCGGAATCCCCTAAAGCATAGGACCGGAAACCGGACCGGTTAGATTCCGGTCCGGACCGGTTTTTTCCGGTCCGGTCCGGGTAAAAATCGGAAAACCCGAAATTTATTTTTTCTATTTCTTTTTGTCTATTTTTTAAACTTGTTTTTCAAATTTGTAGCTTGATTTGAATTGATTTCAACCCTACATTTAATTTTTATATAAATTGGGTGTGTTTCAAGAAATTATATTAATATAAAATATTTTTATCAACAATATAATAGGTGTAAAATGATTTTTATACTTCCGTTAGTTTTGAAATTTAAAAAATATTATAAAGTTTTACTTTAAATTACTTTGGTTTTAGCAAGTCTAATTTATACGTCAAAGTATTTAATACTTTAAATCGAAAGATTCTACTTCAATTTTTGGGAAATAATTTTAGTTTTTTTATAATTATGGATATTTTTGGGTAAAGGTCAATGAAATGAATTAAAAATACAAATTACATTTAAAAAATTATACTTCATATTAAAGTAAGAAGAACAAATGAAAATATACAATTGTATTTATAGACAATCCGGTCTTACCGGTCCGACCTGGAAACGATCCGGTCTTGGACCGGAATGGACCGGAATTTTACCGGTCCAAAATCTTTAGACCGGAGACCGGTCCGGAATTTTACCGGGCTAGCCCGGAACCGGTTTTTCCGGTCCGGTCCAGTCCAGTTTTCCGATCTGACCCGGATTTTGTACACCCCGAGTGGCTAGTCCAGTTCCCCGAGAGACTCTCTCGAAGCTACCACTACTTATCATGTTTCAAGGGGTGCTTGACTAACTGTTTACAACGCGAGAACTTGAATCTCACAAGCCTTAACACAACCGCTTGTAGATGTATCCTCTACAAGACTTCACACCAAATACTTAAATCACATGAGTCTTGTACAATAAGAAGAGTAACCTTCTTCAACCTCACAAAAAACTCTCACAAGAGTAGAAATGAGAAAATGATCAAGATATATGCATGACAAGAACACTCTCCTAAAAACAAATAGTTTTCTTTCAAAATAACTACTACTCCAAATTTGAGGAAGGAATTGATGGAGGAATAAGACCACAAGAAAGAGGTGTGTTTAGAGTGTTTCATGTTAGTAAAAATGGCCAAGGAAGGGTGTTTAAATAGGAGTTGAAATAATATATCCGTTGGGGAAAGAAATAAAATATTTTTGACATATTTCAGCTCAGGTGATTGATCCAAGCCCGATCCCCAGGATACTGATCCAGGCCTTGTGATCGATCACAATGACTTAAAATTTTTGGGGAAAATTACAAACAAAAGTTCGTGTGATCGATCCACCCCAGGTGATCGATCACCCGAAAGAATTTCTGTGCACAAGGAAAAGTCATGTGATCGATCCATTGCAGGGGATCGATCTAATGACGAAATAAGGCCCAAAAATGTAGACCATAAGCATGTGTGCGAGATGAAATGTATTTTTGGCCTATATGGATTTATTTCAAACAAAACGATCAGGGGTAAGGCTTCCCATCAACATAAATATTATTCAAATTCAAGAAGAATTTGAGCCAAAGTCATTATAATTTTATTTATTTATGTATTTCTATCGATCAATTGATAAAATAATATAATTATACGGAGTATCATATTTTGTTTCAAAAAACTTTTGATGTAGTTCTTAAATATATAATTTGTTTATTTCTACACCACATTCTCAAAAAAATCAGAAAAAAATATTTTTTATCGCAAATCAATTCATGAATTTTACATGGGGAAAGACTATTTATTTATTCACTATTTATTTATATATTATTTACTTATTTATTTTTTAGTTATTAATTGATTTATTTGTTTATTTATTAATCAATTTTTATTTAATTAGCAATAAATAATTATTTTTTATTTATTCAAAAGAATTACATACAATAACAAATCATATATTAAAACCTATTCTCCAGCAGCCGAAGAGAAATGCTACTCCCCGTAGCTTTTTAAAGTTTGGCTTTTCAGGCTCAAACAGCCAACTTTTACAGCCTACTACCAAACACCCTTTTTGGTTGTTTTGACCAGTCAAATCCGCTAAAATTGGTCAAAACAGCCAAAAGCCATACGGACATATAATGTTTGTGCATTCACAGACATTATGTGTTTGTACTGTGTGTTTCTATGTTAGCTTGGTGTATAAATAAGGTATCCAATGGTGTACCCCTATGTTAATTCTTACGGAGTATATTTTAATTGGAAAATACTATGTGTATCCTGGTTTCGTACACCGGGTGTACACCATATTTTAATGGGGTGCCCCATGGTGTACCCCGGTTTTATATGTACACCATATTTTAATTTGCATGAGAAGTGTGAATTTTGGCACTGTAACACATCCAGTTCTGTAATGGACAAAGCCATTCATGTAAGTGCTGCAGAAAGAAACAAAGAGGAAAACTAAAATTGAGAGCAAGTGACAGTAGAATTCTCTTGATCCATTCATTCATATAAACACCAGATGTACATATAATCTCTTCATCAGAGCTATCATATTATATTGCCAAATCAGAAGTTTAGCACATTCTCAGTCTCTCTTCATCCAATGATGAAAACTAGCTACGCTCTAGAATTTAAAATTAAAAAAATGAATTAAAGAAAGAATTACGTGTCTACGAAGAACTCGGCATCAAAAAATTTAAGAAATTGGACGTTATTTGAATCGCCCGATCCTCGTACTCAAAGTTCAAGCAATTGATTCGCGTAGGTCTCGACATCCCCAAGAAAGTCATTGCCCAAATAATCGTCCATCAACATGGATTCCAGCTCGCCCAAATCCACAAAGTGATTCGCATTTGCGTGATCCGAACACTTTTCTTCGGACTGGATCATATAGTGTGATGCCAGCTCGCTCAAATCCCACTCATTGCTCGATGACTGGTTCATGTAGTCCGAATCAGACTCGTCCAGATCAACCAATTGAGAAAAGTCCCAATCCGACCGATCTCCTTTTTCTTCAATTGCACCGGGTAACTTGTTTATGTTCACGACCGCGTCCAAATTGCCCAAATCAGACATCTGATTCCCATCCAAAAAAATTGCTTTTTCTTCGGCTGCAAGAAGATCGCGGAAGATGTAGGGATTGTTCATGTAGTCTTCTGAATCAGACTCGCCCAAATGAGAAGACTCCCAATCCGACCGATTTCGTTTTTTACTATTTGGGCCGCCCGGTAACTCGTTTATGTTGACGGCGTCCAAATCGCCCAAATCAGCGAACTGATTCCCATCCAAACCCTTTTCTTCTTCTTGGTCAGATCCGAGGAGAGCTTTGGGGTCGCCGAAGATGTGGGGATTGTTCATGTAGTCTTCTGAATCAGACTCGCCCAAATGAGAAGACTCCCAATCCGACCGATTTCGTTTCTTACTATTTGGACCGGCCGGTAACTCATTTATGTTGACGGCGTCCAAATCGCCCAAATTAGCGATCTGATTCCCATCCAAACCCTTTTCTGCTTCTTGGTCAGATCCGAGGAGAGCTTTGGGATCGCCGAAGATGTAGGGCTTCCCGGCGGGGGAGAAGACAAGGGCGGCTACGCTGGTTCCCGGGTATTGGCGGCACAGGTCGCCGGCCTTCTTGAAGAGCCCCTGGCGGCGCTTGGTGAAGCAGATATTTCTTTTCTGCAAATCCTCGATTTTCTTGATCTCGATTTTGGCCTTCCCTTTCCCCATTGATTTTCTCTCTCGATTCAATTCACAAATCACAAAGAAGAAGAAGAAGAAGGTGATTAAAGCAGGGGATAAAGGGGGAAGTGGGGGTGTGGGGAGGGTTAAATAGGGCGGGAGCGGGAGGTTTGGGAGCTTGGAGAAGACCGTTGGGATTTGCTTTCTTGATTTTGGAGCATTCAAAAAAACGTTCACCTGCAGGGGTTTGGATTTTGGATATTCTTCCCTCTCTAGCGCGTCAAGTCCGCACTCTTTTTTGAAATTCCCTCGAATGAATTGAGTCAAATTTTCCAGCCATCATTTCATTTGAAATTAATATTTAAAAAAACAAAAGTTAAATCTTTTATACTTATATCAAAACTGTATATTTTTCTCTGTTAAGTATTTCATGAAAATCAAAAAATTAGCCAAATTTATTGTGATTTTTGAAATAATGAAGTGTGTGCTTCATCTTGGAATGAAGGGGTACTATTATTTAGATGGTGTGTGTGATTCCTTTGTACACTAAAAAATCACTTAGAATCTACTATTTTTGTTCTAAAAATATTGTCACAACTTGACTTTTTTGTTCAAATTATCACACACTTTGACTACAAATTAAATTTATCTTTGAAAAATTTAAGGTTATTAAAAAATGATATATCAAAAATACATTTTAAAATAAAGCTAATTTTACTTAATTTACATTATAACTGATCTGAATATAGTTTTTTCCATTATTTATGATCAAAATATTGCACAATTTAAATAAAAAATCAAACTATGAAATGAGATGGTATTATGATTTATGTAAAAAAATTACTTCATGAAACATGGGACTATATTATAAATTATTTAAAAAATTACTCTCTCCGTCCATAAATAAAGTTCTCACTTTCCTTTTCGTCCGTCCAAAAATAATCTTCCCATTTCTATTTTTAGAAAATTTTTCATACTTATAAGTCTAAATTACCCTCCCCACCCAATCCTATCTTTTCTTTTTCTTTTCCCTTTCCCCATCCGTTTTCCTGTCCCACCCCATCTTTTTTTCTATCTCTTTTATCTCTTCTTCTTCTTTATTCTTCTTTTTGTTCTTTCTTCTCTTTTCCACTTCTGATTTTTTCCTGTAAAGTGAGAGCAATGAAGCAGCAATCGGGTAAAGGTCGGGCAGCGAGGCGGTGGCGGTGGTCGGAGGTGATAGGGCGGTCCAATCTCCTCCTCCTCCTCTTCTTCAATTCCATGGTCCAATGTCCAATCCATCTTCAACTCTTCTCCTTTCTTTTCTTCTTTCTTGTCCATCTCTGTTAGATCTGAATTTCGATTCAGATAGAGTCGCCAAAGAAATCGACGGTGGTTATGGAGATTACGTACCGGTTGATGATGGTGTGTTGGACCGGAGGAAAGGAGCCCCAGATTTCTTTCTTCTTCGTTTTTTTTGAAATTGAAGGCGATGGCGGCGTCAGTGGCGGCGGAGGCGGCGGCGGTCGGAGTTGACGTGGTAGACCATCAAGGTGGCCGTCAATGATAATGGCGAAGCAGGAGGGCATGGGATTGCATATAGAGCAAAATGGGTGGCCAAGAAGAGAAGAGAAGGGATAAGGGATGGAAGGGTATTTTAGGAAAGTCAAAGTGAGAACTTTAATCTTGAACGAAGGGAGTACTAATTAATGTGTATCATTCTAAAAAATAAGTCGGGGCATGTGAGAGTAAATTAAAGATTCTTGTTACTTGTTTTGCCCTTACTCACTTAAAATGTTTTCCTTTTCTCTTGAGTATGTGCTTGATCTTCAATTTAGGCTCCGTTCCGTTCAACTTATTTTTTCTAATTTGATTTGATTTTTTGTAGTTCGGATCTGATCTCATCTGGTCTGATATGATTTGATTGGATCTGATCTAATCTGATCTAATCTGATCTGTTCTGATCTAATTGAATCTGATCTGATCAGATTGGTTCTAATCTGATCTGATTTGGTCTGATCTAATTAATTATGATTTGATTTAAAAGTGAAATAAAAAAATTTGATTTAACATTATAATAACGTTTGAAAATTAAAATGATAATTCATATTATAATATAATCAATACTTTTTATTTTATGATTGTTTTTAATAAAATAAAATTAGTCAAAACTTTAGAAACTCAAATTACAGGTAGCAATAAAAATGTATTTTAAAAGTAGAATTTGATTGACATTGTCAATGTATTTTAAAAATAATTTTTCCGAAGTCTAATAATTAAGGATTACTTTCTCAGTTTTCTATTTAACTTGTTTCTAAAGTTTATTCTTTTTCATTTTTAATAATAATAATAATAATAATAATAATAATAATAATAATAATAATAATAATGATAATAATAATGATAATGATAATGATAATGATAATGATAATGATAATGATAATGATAATGATAATGATAATGATAATGATAATGATAATGATAATGATAATGATAATGATAATGATAATGATAATGATAATGATAATCATAATAATAATAATAATAATAATAATAATAATAATAATAATAATAATAATAATAATAATAATAATAGTAATTCTTGATGGAATCTGATCTAATCTGATCTGGCCTGATCTGATTGGATCTGATCTAATCTAATCTGATTGGATCTGATCTGAATCGATCTGATCTGATTTTAATACGAATAAGAAAAAATAAGAAAAAATAAGTTGAACGGAATGGGGCCTTATTGTCTTTCCAAAAACATGGAAAGCAACAAATTAAAATAGAATCAGATACATTCTTATTGATAATAATAATAACACTCATGCCCCGTTCCGTTCAATTTAATCTGATTCTAATCAGATAAACTTCAAAGAGTCAATACATTCTTGAGTTCGAAAGCAACAAATTAAAATAGAATCATCAATCATAAAGCACGCATGAATAAAAACAATGGAAAATATATTAGAAGTAACGGAGTTAGGGTTGTTTTCATTTAATCATGAGTAAAATGTTTACAAGATCCTTATATTTTTCCCAAGTCCCTAATTATTTTAAATGCTTACAAGGATCCTATATTTTTTTGGAAGTGCTTCACTAATTCCTAAATTATTTTTAATATTTATATGATCCCTATTCTTTTTAGTTGGTGCATTCGTGGTCTCTTCGGTGGTTTTTTTCAGACCTAGTCTCTTGTAGTTAATGTAAGAATTGACATTATTTCATAAATTTTCAAATAACTTGTGTGGGTTGCTCAAATAATTTTCGCACACTTGATCCGAAAAATGCCATCTAAAGGGTGTAATCCACCCAGGCCATGACCCAGGTCGGGCCTAGCCAAGACCACCCATGCAAGGTCCAGGTATTATGCTTGAGGATTGCTTGGGTGGATATGTACCCTGCCCGGGTGGGTTTCAGCGAAGACCACCCGGGCAAGGTCCTGGTACTATGCAATAGGGTTGTTTGGGCGGATCTGTACCCTGCCCAGGTGAGGTTTAGCCAGACCACTCGGGTGACTATTCAGCACCCGGTCAACTAGCATGATACTGCATGGGGATTCTCGAGTGATCAGACGTTCCTTCAAGAAACCACCCGGATAGGTTTTCGAGACTCGTAAAGTCGTTAGTTTGGGCGTACATGTCTCAGCAACAGAAGATCGTGGAGAATATTTAGATATTCTTGTCCAAGCACTATGCGCCAAGAGATGTGCCATCAGCACAAGCCGACAAATGAGTAGGACAAACGCGATGTGACAAGAACGTGGGCATTCTTTGTCTTGTCCCTTAGGCTCCACTATAAATAGCCTTGTAACGCTCAATAGAAAGGGTCCGAACTTTATCTCTCTCGAGCCTTGTTTTGGAGACATCAACACTCTTTCATATCGTGTGAATTCATCTTGTGGTAGGTACAATATCTTTCTACTTGAGACCATTCTTGACCTTGGTTTTCTAGATTTTGGACTTCATAGCCCTTCTCACCCTGAACTAGGGGTGAGCAAGTACCGAACTGATACTGAAATTTCCCAAAAATACCGAGAATGCCGAACCGAAAAATACCAAACTGAAAAAGTACCGAGAAGGAACCGAACCGTACCGAACTAAATGGTCGGTACGGTATTTGGAAACAGTACGAGGTGACGTCCTATACCGAAAATCCCGAACCGAACATATATACTAAAATATTATAAAAAATAATACCCCGAAGTAATATTTTTATATTCTTTCACTAAATAATACGGAGTACTTTTAAAAAAAATTGGTTGAAGTTCTATTATGTGTAAATTATACTTTTATTTGAGTTTTAGTTTTTGTGTATGAACACAAAAGTATTCACAGAGATTCGAAATACTCCTTTTTTGTCATTCATTTTTTTAGTTTTGAAATATAAACTAAGTTTTGATACGCATCGCTTGCATTTAAATATTCATTTTTTTTAATTTTTCATGTTTTTTTTATTTAAATTCACTTTTTAATTTTCAAAAATAAAAGGGCATTTTAAAATTTTCAACGTGTAAAGTATGTTGGTATATTCGTCCGATTAGTATCGAAACCGATACCGAACCATCCCGAACCATACCAAACCGATATTTTGGGATTGGGATCGGTACGGAGTAAAATCCCATATCGAATCGAAATATTTGGTACGGTATCGGTACGAGCTAAATACCGTACCATACCGTACCATGCTCTCCCCTACCCTGAACTACATTTGTGACCGGGTCACCATGAGGTCGACAGTCGTTCGAACAGCTTTGGTTTCCTCCATCACACATTAGTCTGGGCTTATGTTTTGAATAAGCTAACTCAGTTTCTTTCTTTGCCCAGTACTACTCCTCTGCTTCAGCATATTGCAATGAATTGTTGTATGCCTCTTGGTAGGTGTTGGGAGGTCTCTTACAAAGTTCTTTGTACAGCTCCCTGGCCCTAAGGTTGATCAGCAGGAGTGACAACATCGTCTTGTTGTCTGTATCTTCCACCTGCTCGACTTTTTTCGTTCATCTCGTCAAGAATTCGGTGAGGTTCTCCGACGCCCTTTTCCCAGAAGTGGTCAGGAATGTAAACTTCTTTCTCTTCCT